GTCTCTAACTTGCTCACATCTCAATAACCATCTCTCCACTGATTTTAACGAGTGAATTTAATTGGCTATTTTGAAAGAGGGCTTGTTCTGGGGTTGTTTTTTTTTTTTCACTTCTTTTAATTTCTATTTTTAGTACAAACCACTCAGATCTTAATAATGTTTAATACTAGCAAGCATTAATAAGGGAAAGAATTAAGAACATATTTTAGGATCATATCTAGCCCAGAACTTTCATTTCACAAACGAAGAGGAATAAGGAAGCCCTAAGAAATGAAGTGATTTTCATAAGATCAAACATCCAATAGGTTCACAGTTTTGTTTTGTTTGATCTCAGCATGAATCTATATAACAATTTAGCTGTAGGCAACTTTATATAATACAGATGCTCCTCAACTTACAATGGGGTTACATCCTGATAAACCCATTGTAAGTTGAAAATATCATGAGTCAAAAATGAATCTAAGGCTGGCAACACAACATAGATGGGTTTCTTTCTGGTTGTACAGAGACTCTTTGTAAAGCAAACCATGTGTTCACTGCACTAAAAGAAACTTCTTATTAAAAAATACAACTATGAATCCCCTTGGTTAAAAACAAAAAACAAATATGGAGACAGCAGTGGCATGGTTTTTCAATCTCTCCAAATCCCTGCATAAAAACAGACAAAGCAAATAGACAGCAAATGCAAAGACCCATGGACAAATTTAAAATATCATTGGGTCAAGCTATCCCTATGAACCCCAAATACAAATGAGTAGGAAAAAGATACCCTCATAACACCAAGGGTGCATAGTACCAGCTTCTGTGCAGGAGAAAATATAGGGAAGGCATAGGGAATCTGACTGACCTGAGAACTAGAGACCCCAAAATAGACAGCGCGTATTCACAAAAGTACAAGAAGGCAATTTGAGAACAGCAGCTAAAACTGAAAACAAAACAAAACAACAACAACAACAACAAAAATGCTTGGCTCATTCAATGGTGTATGAATATAGTGGTCACAGTAAGATCTGACCCATATGAACTCTCAAAACTGATCATCCAGAGTTGGGTTCTCTTCCAGCACAGAGCCCAGGGCATGAAGATTTGAAACTACATATTGAAACTGCTAGTTATGGAACAAAAGCTAAGCAGGATAGAGACAATAGAGAAAAAAAGGAAGAAAAGGACAAGATAAACATAGGGGTGGAGGACTGGGCCAGTACACCTAAGAAAGCAAGCCACGTGATTTTTTAATACTGCGAGAAAACAAAAGAAGAGGTAGTTCTGTGAGTTGAGAAACGGTGTAATGAGTAACATCTTCCTCTAAATGTGCAAGAAAAATTAATTTAATATAAAAATGAAAAAAGTGTGGAGGTCAAAGCCCACAAACATTTATTAAAAGAGTAAAAGGAAATAAGGGGCAGAATAACATCTCTCCAGACAGTGGAGGCATGCCATGAAGACACACCCACAGAACCAGATCAAAACTGTAACCTAGAACCAAAAAGACATGAGGAAAATCATACCAGACATAAAGAACAACATAAATCAGAATTAGGGACAAACCTAGAAATGAAGTGGTAAAACTCAGGAAAGAATTAGACATAATAGGAAAAAAGCCATTTGAAAAATGAATATTAAACTAGAAGGGACATAAAAGCATTAACACCATAAAATAATGTCTTAAGAGAAATAGAAGAGAAAAAGCATGAAAATTTTTAAAATCTAAAAAGAAATAAAGAGATAAAAAGGAAAAGAACATTCCTGAAATAAAGAGATTTGAATCTAATAGTGAAAGGGTACACTACATGCCTAAGAATATTGACCTAGAATGACCAATACTATGATATATTCTAGTAAAATTACTAAACTTTAAAGGAAAAAAATCCTTCAGGTATATAGAAAAAAGAGCATGTGACTTGTAAAAGGAAGAAAATTATCAACTTGTCAACACCATGCTTTATGGTAGAAGAAAATAGAATATCTCAGATATTTAAGGGAAAACATGTGAGCCAATGATTTTGTATACAGCAAAGCAGATTTTCAAAGCATCAAGATCAATGACAAAGTGTTAGCAACATGAAAGAACTCAAGAAATATTGTTCCCATGAGTCCTTCCAAGGAATCTACTGGAAAATAAGTTTCAGGCATCAAAATATCTAGAGAAACAACAGCCTAAGGACTAGTGACAAGGATTAAACATGTAGTTACTTGTAGAATCAAGATTAAATAAGGGTTAAATGGAAAAACAGTGCATTTGTCTATGTCTATACACTCAGGCAATGTAGAGAGACTTCTGCTCTTAAAACGAATAGGAGGAGAATGGAAGAATATACGCAAAAATAATTAACTCTTCTCATAACTATATTGGTACTGATAGTACCAATGTTAATTGAGACTGGTATATAGGAAATATGGGACTAGTAAAATTATAAATTGTAAAATATCAGATATTCTAATTCTATCATCTCTTATGTTCTTGAGAATCAGAACCCTTGATATGAAAGGGGATATAGAGTTAGTACCGAAAATGTTCAAATTAAAATAAAAAGCTATAGTTCTGATTTGAATGAGAAGTATCAGTATGAACTTAAGAAGTATTTTATTAAGAGGTAGGAGAATGTGTGTGTGTGTGTGTGTGTGTGTGTGTGTGTGTGTGTGTGTGTGTAGAGAGAGAGAGACAGAGATTTAGAAACAATGACCAATCCAATTGCAATAAGCATCTCTAGCAATCCAGATTCTTAGATCATGGTCTTGAAATACTTTCCACTTAAAAAATAAAGATTTTGAAGAAACAGGTGCTGTCATGTATAATACGAACCTGGAACATCTCTTTATACCATATAGTGAAGAAGCTATCAAAGATGCTTAAGATCATGTCAAAGATGCTCAGAAACCACCTTGAAGAGACTCCCACTGGCTAAACATGAAATAATGTGAGCTTCAAAAAGGACAATAATTGCAATTGATTGGAACCCATCAAACATATTTAAATACATTAATTCATAGTAATTTTAATCTAATTGATTATTTTTAGAGGAAAATGGGGAACTGATTGTCTTGAGAACCAGTAACTGAAGGGAAAGAATCAAGCATGTGTCTAGTTTTTCCTACATAAACTGGGTATTCTTGGGTACCCAAAGAGTAGATGATAAAAATCATCTCTTTATGAAGTATCCCATTTAGTAAATTAAGGATAAATTATAGAATTAGAATGCCACCCCTTCACAATCCCCAAAGAATTAATGGATCTAGGTAATGAGCATGAATGGCTGCTCACATTACAAAAAGATGAGCCTCTGAACACACTACTATCTACAGTCTTGCTGGAGGGACAGAACCAATTCTGATCAAGCCTCTGCATCCAGCTGCCAGTCTACAAAAAGATAGAAAACAGAGGAACATATTGAAGTATACCATATGGATACAATCATCAAAATCAGGACTGTGGGGAAACTCTACAGATCAAATGCCCTGAGCTCTTCTGACAGATAAATTATAAGGAAACGAAGAGGGAGGAGGGGAGATCCATAGACGAAAGAAATTTAAAAAATATTTTTAACACAAAACTAAGCTATAACATCCTAAAGATGCACCCAATTAGGTGATAAACTATGAAACACACACACACACACACACATACACACACAAACATACATGAGCAAAAGGAAGTGATTCCTATACAAGTCAGAAGAGGGATTACTTTCAGACCAGGGGAGGAGATGAGACTGAGGGACATGAAGGGGCTTCTAGGCGGCTGGAAAAGTTCTATCCTCTTGAACTGGGGTGTTTACAAAGTTGTTCATCTGATTAAAAAAATAATAATAATATGATAAACTATAAATGTGTGGGGCTTTATCTGTGTTTTATTTTACAATAAAAAAGATTTTTAAGATCCTTTTGCAAAATGAAGAATAAGTGTGCCAAGCAAATCTAATAAGCCTCCTAAATTCTCTTTTCTTGGTAAATCCATATTTAATTGGATAATTTGTTTACACCAAGTGCATGCCTGGCCTGGGAGTGTTTTCAAGAATCATTACAGTGTACTCAATCAACAAGTGTTGACTGGATACCTACTAGGTGCAAAGCACTCCTGGTCCACTGCAATTGGCTTGTGCCTTCAGGCACTTGCTCCCACTCTTGGTTTAGTTGACAATGTGCATTGTAAGTTTTCACTGTGGGTTTGAGTTTTTGCTATTGTTGGTGATGTATTTGCTTATGATGTCTTGTTTTGTGAAGTCATTGAAATACTGCATGTTGAAGAGAAGAGGCTCCTGAGACACTTTCACTCAGCACAAAACTAAGTGGCCTCTTTCCCTAGTCTGAACCAAGGCTGTTGCTGAGACCACAGGCCAGCGATCCAGGGTGCCACTTCCTGTGGGTGTCAGCAGCTGGGACTCGGATTGTTGAGAATCTTCTCTGTTACGGGGCTATGCTTTGGTGACTCATCATCCCAGCCTCACAACCACACCACACATATGAATATCTAGTTCCTAGAAATGACAGTTTCAGAGTGGTTTATAATGGGTAGCAATTCCCAGCAAAACAGAGGATGTTTGAGAATTTTTACCAACCTAGGATCACAAATATCAGGAAACAACCTAGTCCTTTCCACCAGATAAAGCCAGTTTATAAATCTAAAACTTTGCAAGCACATCAATTTTTTATTATTATTATTTTTTATTTTGGCATATTATGGGGGTACAGGTTTTAAGGTTTCAATAAATGCCCATTTCCCCCGTCCCCCCACAAGTCTGAGTCTCCAGCATGACCATCCCCCAGATGGTGCACATCTCACTCATTATATATGTATATACCCGCCCCTCTCCCCCCTCCCACCTGCCCAATACCCTATTACTATAGTACCTATGTGACCACTTAGGTGCTGTTCAGTTAATACCAATTTGCTGGTGAGTATATGTGGTGCTTGTTTTTCCATTCTTGGGAAACTTCACTTAATAGTATGGGTTCCAGCTCTATGGCACATCAATTTTTATGCTTTTTCTGCACAGAAAAGGAACTATGAAAGCTGCAAAATTATGAAATTTTTTATAACCAAACAAGCTTCTATTTCAATCAAGAGTAATAAATAATGGAAAGAAGAAAGAAAAGAAAAGAAAATTAAAGAAAAGAACTTAACTACATGGCAGAGGCTACTCTAAGCAAATTGCATGCATTCATTTGTATACTGCTCACCACAACCCAAATAAAGGCGATCCCTACTTCACAGATAGTGGAACAGTGGAGCAGAGGTTAAGTACCTTGCACAAGGTCACAAAACTAGTAAGCAGCAGTGCTAGGACTCAAACCATGTGGTCTGGTTCCCCAGCCTGTGCTGTTAGCCAGCCACAGGTTACTTACTATACTGCCACAAGCTCTTAACATCTTGGCAAGCTTCTTAAATGCTAGATAGTAGTCTATATTTGAACGCTACCTGGCTTGCTAAAATTGCATTTTAGATAGCTCCCTCTGACAGAAAGCATGGCTAATCAATAATCAAACAGGATCCACTTTATCTCCTTAATAGATCTTGACGCTGTTGGCTTCTCTCCATCTTCATTGCCACTGCCTTGGCTCAAGCCACCATCATATCTTGGCTAGATTATTGCAATCACCTCCTAACTGGCTTTCCTTCCTTTAGTCCTAAATGAAAATGAAGACTAGAGGCCAAAAAAGAATTATAAAAGGGTGCCAAGCTAGCAAAAGAATATACAAACATCAGCCCCAACAACTTCTAGGAGCTAGGGCTGGAGAGAGAACAGTGGAAGCAGTTACAAACTCAGGTCTTCATGAATCTAGAGAAAGTCAAAAGCAGAGCCAGTATGGAGACATTAACTAAAACCATGCATTTTTATAAACAGCAAGCTGCCTGGCTCTGCCATCAGAGATTGGAAGCCATAGAAATAGCTGCTGGTAATGGTTGTCTGATCCCTCCCTACATCCTCCAGCCTCCCTGGGGCTTGGGTCTCCTGGTCAGAGAAGCTTGGCTTGCTCCAATCTCCCTGTCTCCTGTGCTGGTCTTGCTGAGATGTGCCCTGGGCAGGGCATTGGGCAGGAAGGAGACTCCTCACATGATCCAGCTTAATCCTCCTTTCCTCCCTCCTTCCTGAAGCTGCACACTGCAGTGAGAGCACAGCAGAAATGCAGACAAAAGGGGGCCCAAAATGGACAAGAAGGGTTCTACTGCTCGGCATCCTCTGGACCACCACACACCTGCCTCTCCCAGGAGCCTCCTTGCCCCAACGTCTCCCAAGGGCCACAGGTAGGTGGACATTGGGGTCACTTACCTCTGCTGCCGTTGCTGCTACTGCTGCTACCACATACAGAGGAAGGGACAAAGATAGGGAAATTCTCACATAACTCTTACTTATGCTTCCTGCTTGAAATTTGCTCTAAATTTTAGAATTTAGAAAGATATCAAACACTTTTGATGCCTCAAATAAGTTCTTAAAGATAGTTCTGAAGTAATTCACAGAGATCATGAAGTAAGCAAGTCTCCAGTTCTTATCGCTGGAGACTTCATCATGGAAAAAAAACATCTTTTATCCTAGAAACTCTGCAGTAACAGATGATTCTTTGCAGACCTGTGGACAACTTAGGCTCTGAAATGAATGAAATTGTACAGATATTAGAAATCTTTACTCATCAGAGATACAGTTTTTACTTAGGGAAGGAAAGGAGTTAAGAATTCCCTTTTAGAAATAAAGCAGACAAGGAGGAGTGATTTCATGATTTCTCCTTTTTAATTCTTATACCATCATCATCATATTTCATTAAAGCATCTCTTGCTGGTCCCAAAAACTAATTTTTAAGGCTCTACAACTGTATCATATTTCGAAGTATGTTATACATTTTCACTGGGTTCTTAAAATTCTACCCAGATATCCGACACTTACAGTTTTTTTAAGGACGCTCTCTTAGTAGGCTCAGAATGTGTGACTCCAAATTCTTCAAACTTTCATCTCCTCTTCCTTACCAGAAAATAGCACCCAATGTGTTATTTCTCCATCATCGGAGTTTCCCGAAGGGTTTTTCACAAAACAGGAGCGCAGAGATGGTGGCATCATAATCTACTTCCTAATTATCCTTTACATGTTCCTGGCTGTGTCTGTTGTCTGTGAAGAGTACTTCTTACCCTCCCTGGAAATCATCAGTGAATGTAAGTGGCTGGAAAGCTCCCCTCTAACCTTCAGGAAGAGTGTGTCGCACAGATAAGGCTCTCTTTGAAACAGCTCAGCAATAATTCTCTCCATCTCAACTGGTTACAGAGCAGTGACTTCTGTTTTATGGGGTCCTGTGTCTTAAGGAATTGGTCAAGTGTGGTTTTTCTTGGTAGTTAACATGCATCAGAGCATCTATAAGTTGGTACCCATCAGTTATTATTATACTGCCTATTTCCAGAAACTTCCCGTTTGTCTACTGCTTAGCTGTTTGTTATGAGAACTCTTCCAAGATTTCACTTGTATGCATTTTGTATGTACTGCTAAGACAATGTAATTCCTAATACTTTCCATTTTATACTTCAAAAAACGTTTTTCATTTTTATTCTAAGATCATTATAACTTTATTAAATTTTTATTAACTTTATTAACTTTTTATTATTAACTTTAAAGAGGTAAGTGACAAATGCAATTAAGGACCACCTTCCCCTCTTCCTTTCCCAGCATGTTGCCATTAAGGAAACTAATTGATAAATTTAAGAATCAGTCAATAAATAAATAAAACAGTTAATCCTTCATCCTATGTAAAGTGACTTCAGGCATCAGATAATTATAAATTCAGTTATTAAAAATTAAGCTCCAGTACTGGTTTCTGAAAATAAGATCAGCCAGTCCAAGCCCTGAGTTCTCCTCCTTCAGCAGCGTAAGTTGCCCAGCATTCTGAGGATAGACCTTCACTGGCACACTGGTCCCTAAAATCAGGATATCTGTGGTGTTTTACGCTATTTAAGCGAAAGTGCCCGTGTTTCCAGTCTCTGTCTCCCACTTGGTTAGTTAATTGGTTGAGTGTGCTAACTTCCCAGTAATGTCAAAGCTAAGGGTTGGGTTCCCTAGTACATATCCACAGGACTGCACAGAAACGAAAGCACCCTCAACATCCACCCGCCACACATATGCATTGCTACCATTTCTTCACAAAGGGAAAGAACATGAATGCATGCTCTCCTTTTTCTCATCACCCTACTCCTGCTAACAGGCAAGGCAAGTTATTTTGTCTCCTGCTCACTGCAGTCTAGCAGTATCTTTAGGATAAGTTCACAGTAACTGGCAAAAGCAGAGGCACTCAACACCCATTTCTCTAATGAAAAAAATCTATAGAATAGGTTAACCTAAGTTTGTTACAATTATTATTTAACTTAATAGATGTAAATATATACTTTTTTACATTGACATTACAGCTTACCTTGACATTATTTACTTTAATATGGATTAAATTACTTTAACATATTATTTTTATGTAGATTAATGAAATATAAGAAAAATAGAAGAAAAAGGTAAAATCTCCGATGTTTCCATCACACTGAGGTCACCATAGTTACCACTTGATATATTTTCTTTAAATCTTTTGAATCTTCAACGTGTTGGGTCTTTCTTTTTCCTCATGTAATATTTTAATGTGCACATTTCCCTATATCATTAAATACTCTTCAAAAACATTATTTTTAATAGGGGCATGATAGTCTGTGATTCAACAAATGATTTAAAGCACCTGACACTGGTCTTTAATACATAGTAGGCACCCAGTAGAAATTTATGATAATTTTTAAAAGTATTCTCATTGGACATTTGATTTGCTTAAACTTTTTGTTAAATAATGTTATGCCCATACTTGTATAAAATCTCTGCACACTTCTTTGATCATTTCCTAATTAAGAGGCAGAACTACACATATTTTAAGTTTTATGATCTATAATTGCCAAAAGGCATTCCACATCGGGTGTGCCAATTTAAGCCTCCATAATGCATGGCAGCATCCATTCCAGAAAACCATGGAAAATATATTTGAAATATCTTTGTTAATTGCTTTAAAATGGAACTTTATTTTATAAAACTTGTATTTGTCTTATTATTCATGAGAGTGAATATTTTACATGTTTATTAAATTTTGTGGTTTTGTTTTTGTGGGGGTTTTGTCCATATTCTACTGGGGGGTATTAGCCTTTTCTTATTGATTTTCCAGACTTTAAAAAAAAATAAATATACTGGAAAGGCCTGGTGGCTCATGCCTGTAATCCTAGCACTCTGGGAGGCCGAGGCGGGCGGATTGCTCAAGGTCAGGAGTTCGAAACCAGCCTGAGCGAGACCCCATCTCTACCAAAAATAGAAAGAAATTAATTGACCAACTAAAAATATATATACAAAAAATTAGCTGGGCACAGTGGAACATGTCTGTAGTCCCAGCTCTTCGGGACGCTGAGACAGGAGGATCACTTGAGCCCAGGAGATTGAGGTTGCTGTGAGCTAGGCTGATGCCATGGCACTCACTCTAGCCTGGGCAACAAAGTAAGATTCTGTCTCAAAATAAATAAATAAATAAATATATTAATAATTTTTCTAATATAATCTTTATATCATGTGTTTTCATAGTTTGTTGTTTGCTTTTGTATTTTGTGTTTATCACACTGAAGTTAAAATATTTTTAAGTAAATTTATAAATTTTTCCTTTATAATTCTCCTTTTGGTTTTATACTTAGAAAGATCTTTTTATCCCTATGTCAGAAAGAATGTCATATTTTCTTCTACTTATATTACAGATTTTTTACACATATTTATTTCTTCCACTGAGAATTTGTCTTGCTATAGGATAAAATGGATTTTCCAAAAGTTGATCAATTTTCATATACTAAATTCTTATATACACGTGAATCTGTTTCTTTACTCCCAAATCTATCCTAATAATATATTTATTCATTCTTGTGTCTGGATCACACTTCTAATTAGAAAATGTAAAAAGCTAGAAATTAAAAATATTAATCATATAAAATTAGGAAAATTTAATGTTAAGGTATTATTATATACATTATAAACAATGAATTTACTGAACAATGGCATGACTGAAAAAATTAATTCATCAAGAATTTTAATTATAAAAAACTATCTTGGGAGTGGTAAAAAGTAAATAAACTTTTCTAGCCCTATAAATAAAACTACTGCATTAAAATTTCGATTATGGCTTTGAAATAATCTTCATTAAGTGACTTCATATGTCTAAAATAATGACTTCCACCCTGCCACTTGTGAAATTACTTTGAAACATCATCAGCAAAATTGCATTTCTCAGTGAGTCACTCTGTCCTAAAATATGATATGGTAGTTATTATAGATGTGTGATTGATAGATACCTAGGCAACTGCCAAATCTTCAGCCATTAAAAACTGACCCTGGTCTTCAGTGTCAAAAATACTGGGAACAAAATGAGATAGAAATAGTGCTAGCTCAAAATTTTTTAAGTGCCTATAAATTAATTCTGCCATTTCTCTTTTCAAAGTCTAGCATGGTCTTATCCAAATTATTACTTCAGCAATAAAAAACAAGTCCCCTGCAATTTGTTCACTTCCACAGAAACTGGCTTCAAAAGAGTCTGCAAACACTTTGCATTTCCTTGATAAGCACTGAGTTGTAGTAGTTCCAGCCATTTTGTCCATTAATAATTATTAACATAATCCCCAAAACATTTCACTAAAGCCTTCAGAACAGTTCAAAACAGGTCACAAAACAGTTCATGTAGTAAGCCTGTCTTAGGAACCAGTCCTTGATTTGTGCAATTAGTCAAATTACCCTGTAGTCATAACTGGTATGGTTTGCTTGGGGCATTTTCCACATATTCTGTATCTCTATGTTGATACATACTTGCTGAATGGCCTATGACAATGCTAGAACACCGCCATCCTCTGCTCTAGCGCCATGCTCCTACAGTGAGATGGTGGAAAGTGACCATCCTGGAGACAGACACAGCCAAGGTTCTAATCCTGGCTCTGCCATTTGCTAGCTCTGTGACCTTGGGCAAAGTGCTTAACTTTTCTCTGCTTCAGCTATCTTAGCTGTGAAAGAGGATGATTACAGCCCTTAGTTCACAGTGCTCTGTGCCAAGTACATGAGAAAACATAAGTGAACGGCTTACACAGGTACCTAGCACATAGAAAACATTCACTGAATATTCGTTGTTACATAAGGACAGACTACAAAGGTTAGAATCCTTTACTCAGGAAAGATGCAAATGGAGAGGTGAACGATCAAAGTCAATATAAATGAGTTTGGAGCAAATAACCAAATATATATTGCATCTGCTAGAGCTTGAAAACCAAGTTTAAGGTAACTAAAAGCAAGGACTATTTTACAAGGCAGGAAGTAAGCTCATGAAACTCATTCTTTTATTTCATCTGATAAGCCATGTGGCAACTTTATACTTTAGGCCGGGCGAGGTGGCTCACGCCTGTAATCCTAACTCTCTGGGTGGTCGAGGCGGGCAGATTGAGTTCAGGAGTTCGAAACCAACCTGAGCAAGAGCGAGACCCCATCTCTACTATAAATAGAAAGAAATTAATTGGCCAACTAATATATATAGAAAAAATTAGCCAGGCATGGTGGCACATGCCTGTAGTCCCAGCTACTTGGGAGGCTGAGGCAGCAGGATTGCTTGAGCCCAGGAGTTTGAGGTTGCTGTGAGCTAGGCTGACGCCATGGCACTCACTCTAGCCTGGGTAACAAAGCGAGACTCTGTCTCAAAACAAACAAACAAAAAAAACTATACTTTAAATATCTCTGGAATATTCTGTTTAAAGTTCCTTTTATTTATTTTACATTAGCACCAATACCATTTTATTCCATCTTTACCAATGTTTTATTGCTTAGAAAGTGATACTTTTAAATTATGTTTAATTTAAACATACACCAACATATGTAAGTTTAAAATATAACATAAACCATATTATCTTAAAGGCCAAATAGAACTATTATCATTCATCTCTATAAGCAATTCATTTTTATAAAAGTTAACAAAAAATGAAAACAAAATATCCTTTTGATATGCAATGGGAATCTCAGAGGTATTGAACCACTGTTTGAGTAGCTTTCTTCATATTTTTCCAAGATATATAGAAAATTCCAAAAACTCCTTAAGATCGGTCATTTGAGAGAGCCCAAATTCCACATTAAGTTA